ATGACTGGATGCCAGGCGGTGGTGTTGCACGCTTTTAATCCCAGGCAGAGGCAGGGGGGATCTCTGTGAGTTCAAGGCCAGCCTGGTCTGCATGTGTGTGCCAGGATAGGCTCCAAAGCCACAGAGAAACCCTGTCTCGAAACCCCCCCCCCCCCCAAAAAAAAGAGTCATGACTGGGACTTCATTGTGGCCATCTGTCACCTGGCCTACTGAGAACTAAGAAGTTAGTTTCATGTTTGTGGCTGTAGACAAGTTTAAGCACACAGCAGTTAGAATAGTTATAGTTGAATCTTGAGATTAGAGTGATTAAAAGGTCATGCACCACACTAAAGTTTTTAAAAGTGTTATTTTAACATTTGGGGGAGAAGTTTTGCTTAATTTCTCCTTTGCGATGGTGATGATATTTTGCTGAGTCAGGAAATGGGAAGGGAATTTGGAAGTTGTTAGGAGCACACAGGATGGAAAGTGGTGCATTGTAGATGCTGTTACTGACTGCCTTGTGCTACCCAGCATTAACTTAATTAGTAGAAATGGCACGGAATTAAGGTTCTTTTTATATTCCATTAGCTTCTGTGGGATCCCTGAAACCTTCCTTGGATGTGAGTTGTCAAAACTTTGTGAAATAATAATAGAGCAACATGATGAGTTTTCCTGGCGGCTGATTTGTGCACCCATACATAGGGACCCTGTGCTGCCACTGTGGACTGGGTTTGTAAAATATACATTTCCCTTTAGAATATCTCTGGTGAGAGGAAAGGGGAACTGTGGTTATTATGTAAAATGAATTTTAAAAAAGAATATATTTGGAGCCAAGGAAGATGGCTCTGGGTAAGAGTGTTTGCTGTCAAGCCTAATACCGTGCATTTGATCCTTCAAACTGTATGGTGAACAGAGATAAATGGCTACTGCTAGCTGTCCTCTGACCATACACACCCACACCGTAGCAGACATGTGCATGCACATACCCAGAGAAAATTAGTGTCATTTAAGAAATTAAGTTAGTGTGCTTGAACAAAAATTACATGCTGCTTATGTTAGGATTAGCCCTCAGATGCACACCTGTGTCACTCTTTCCTATGAGGAGTTGGCACTTGTACAACTTGTATGTGTCTCCTTGGATGATAAGGCACTACAGCTGTCCGGCTTAGTGTTTGGCAGGCATGCCCTCCAATACAAATGATGTGAGTCTCAACAAAACCAACCCAGGATTTCTTGCTAAACATAAAATTTGCACTTTCAAGAGAAAATTAAAATTTTGGAAACTTATCTGGCATTGTGAGCTTGATAGCTTCCCAGTAATTAAAACATTGCCGAGGCAATCCAAACTGTTACAATCGCCTTTCTCTAACTGCCTGAGATGCTGTGCTCCTTTGCTTCCTAAATGACCCTGTGTATGTGGTCAGAAGGTGCAGGGTAGGTAAAAGACTCACATAGTACCATACAGGCCAGTGGGTTAATGCAAGAAAGTAAGAGACCTTGACTGTGTTTTACAGTCCACAGCACTGTTGATTTGGTGCAGTTTCAAAGAACATCTACAACTGTGTAAAATGAACGACATGCCTCTGTAAGGCAGGGACTTTCTTCATAGAGTTCACCTAAAACCATACAAGGCAGAAGCATGTTTGGAAATCCTGTTAATCTTTTTTTGTTAAGCCAGAAGATCTGGAAAAAAAATACTGCCATTCTTAATGTTTGTGTGATTTTTGAAAATAACAAAAAGTAATATTAAGTATAGAGGACTTTTACTTTTCTGAAATAACAATACATTCCACATAAACAAAAGATCTTGGAGTCTTCAGAGTATATTTTGCTGAGACCAAAAGCTTTGAAACCTACCACTTAAGAATGCTGGTCAGCCATATAACTAACCATTTCTGCTGTCTTCAGCATTGTAGTTGGCATAGCATCTTTGGAGCTCTGTCCTTAACCTCATTAGTATAGCCCAAGTTGTCCATGGGTTTGCTGTAATCCTCCTGTCTGCTCCCTGAGTACTGAAGTTATAAATGGATGCAGTCACACCTGGCTTTAAAGTGTGTGGGGGTGGGGAGGGTGCACATGCCTGTGTGCTTGGCATTCTATGTCTTACTCTATTGCTTTCTATATTACTTCCTTGAGACAGGATCTCATTGAGCTGGATACTTGGCGTTTTAGCTAAACTGTGGCCTTTCTGAGCATGTTCTAATGTTGGGGCTGCCAGTGTAGTACATGCAGCTGTACCAAGCTTTGTATGTGGGTTCTGGGGACTTGAACTTGGGTCATGTTTACAAAGGAAGTATCCCACTGAGCCACCCCAAATCCCTACATAAAATTTTAATGCTGTAGTTTCATTGTATAATCTATACTTCTGGTTAATAGGAAAATAGTGGGTTTTAACTGAGAGGAGGGAGGAAAATGCCCTTTATAGTCTAACTCGGTAGCTCACGCCTTCAATTTTAACATTCAGGAGACTGATGGCAATAGGATTGCCATTAGCGCTGGGGCATCCTGGCCTAGAGTCAGACCCTGTTCAGAGAGAGACTGACGGAGATCATGCACATGCTTAGAAATGTAGAAAGGTAATTGTAGCTTTAGTACATTCAGAAATGACCACTTTTTCCTTCTTTGGGGAGAAATTAATATGATAGATATGATTACAGTTTCATGGCCACTTTTTTAATATGGACTGTGCTGTGTAGAATTGGGTTAGACATGTAGCAGTGTTTTACTTACTCTTTAGTGGTGCTGGGCTTGGTGCCTAAGGGCCTTGTGTATGACAGGCGAGGGTTCTGCTGTGCCACAGCCCCAGCTCTTACTTAGTTTTATAAAATGGTCTCCTTGTATAACTGAGGTTGGCTTGAGCTAGCCTTTTTCCTATTCTCCCTATCTCCTCAGGATTGAGGTGTACATACCTGTTCCTGTGTTGCCAGGCACCAACACTATCTTTTACTTAAACCTATGAATATGTTTCGTTTTGTTTGTACTTTTGTCCTCATACATACTTGCTTTTATTTCACAAACTGAATTTTAGTAGTTTCTGCATTGGCAGAGTAATGAAAAAGTTTTCAAATACAGAATAATTATTGCAAATGACTTCTATCACATTCTACTTAGCAGAATTAACTGTTTGGTTTTTTTTACTTTTTTGTTTTTGTTTTTTTCAAGCTAGGGTTTCTCTGTGTAACAGCTCTGGCTGTCCTGGAGCTAGACCAGGCTGGCCTCTTAACTCACTGATTTACTGAGATCTGCTGCCTCTGCCTCCTGAGTGCTGGGACTAAGGGTGGGCACCACCACACATGTCTAGTTTTTGCTTCTTAATATTCAGGAGTTTTCTAAAACCTAGAAATAATGTTTATTTTTCAGGTTAATCCGTACTTTTTACCCCAGTATTCAGGATCCAATCCATGCTAGGCACTCTTCCAGTGATCTACATTCACATCTATAACTTGATAGATATAACTTGTGTATAACTTGATCTATAACTTTAAGAAATTTTTTTTTTAGATTTTATTTATTTATTTATTTATTTATTATGTGTGCAACATTCTGCCCCCATGCACATCTGCACACCAGAAGAGGGCACCAGATCTCACAACGGATGGTTGTGAGCCACCATGTGGTTGCTGGGAATTGAACCCAGGACCCCCGGAAGAACAGCCAGTGCTCCTAACCTCTGAGCCATCTCTCCAGCCCCAAGAAATGCTTTTTAAGTTATTTTATGTGTATGAGTGTTCCATTTGCAAGTATATCAGTGTACCACATATGTGTCTGTTGCCTGTGGAAGTCAGATGAGGATGTTCGATTTTTCTGGAGATACCCTGGAACTTGGGTGCTGGGGACCAAACCCAAGTCCTTTGCAAAAGTAGCAAATGCTCTTAACTGCTCAGCCATCCCTCCAATCCCTATAAATTGAATCTTTTAAATGCTTTTCATTCCTGAGATTATTGTGATTTATTTATGTCTGTCTTTGTAAGTACTTTGTTATGAAATACAGGCATTCCAGTTTACTCTAAGAATCAGTTTCTGACTTCTTGTTTTGTTGTCTAATTTTTGGTCCTATAGCCTGGTCCAGCCAGTAGTTTCTGAATTCTTGAAGTTTGCTTTTTGTGGCTAGCTTTCCATGTGATAGAAACTATATGAGGTCTAAAAGGTCATTGTCACTTTAAGGATACATGGAATGTTTGCTCTTTGTCTTGGGTTACCAGGGAGACCACAGTTAGCTGGCAGGCAGTTGGAGCAGGCAGAGAGAGGAGTAAGAGGTGGGTTCTGCTCAGAACTGCTGGGCCTGGCCATTGTAGTTTCAAAGACCTAGCTGGAAGCAACAAGTGTTTAGATTGTGATTATATGAAAGAGTGAAGGAGAGGGCTGGATTGGGGGGGGGCAGGGCTGGAAGGTGTTACGCTTTTTTGAGATAGAGCCTCAGAACAGTGTCATTTGTTAGGACCTTAGTAGGAAGATTGGACAAAATCAAATGATTACTTATTTACTTACTTATTTTGGATTGAGACAGTCTCCTTGTATAGCCCAGAATGGCCTCAAACTCACAGTCTTGTTTCTGTCTGCTTCAGCCCATATCCACCACCCTGCCTAGCTCTCAAATATACCTAGATAACTACAGCCTATTGGTGTTCAGTAAATACACATTTAGTTCTTGTAAATTTCTTAGATTTTAAATTAACTTATGATACTTCTGTACTACTAAGATTTACAAAAAAAGCACAATTGTATAATTTTGTTATTTAGGCTTTCTACTTTCTGTGTTTCTCCTCTCAATGTTGGGTTTCTTTGTGCTGGGTCTGCTTTATGATAAGCTCCTAATTGAATTCAGAAGCAACTGATGCCCTGAGCCACCTTCTCTCCTTTGCCTTTGACTCCTGCCTGGATAACCCCTTCTTTCAGAGTATACCAGTATCACTACTTCCCTATTCAGAATAGGTTAAGTAGAATTTGCTTTTTCTTGGTTGTTGCTGTGTGGCGTAGTCACAGTTGCTTAAGATATGTAACATGCTTTCCCTTCCCTGTAGGAGCTTGTTCAAGAAGCAGTCCACACTGTCTCTTCGGTTGTTGGAAGCTCCAGAATCTTCTCACTCATGAGCGAAGACTGACGAAGGTGTGGTGAGGCTTAGCTATCTGCTGCACCTGTTTCCCAGGGTTATTGTTATATGTAGGATTGTCAGCCAAAGATTTCCAAGCTTTCAGTTTGGGGACAGGTAAGTGGCATTATTTGTATAAAGAAATGACTATAATGTGTTTCTAATAGTCTAAAGTACCAGATTTTATACTCTTTAGCACAGCTTTGTTTTATGAATGGCCATTTTTAGTTAAGAATTTGGCTCAGTTTCTTTGTTTTCACTTTGGCTATGTTACCATTTTGTAAACCTTAATTATATAGTTTCTGTCTAATTAGAAAGCAGTTTTGTAGAGGAAAAGTGGAGATGCCTCTTGGGTTCTTTCTGGGCTTGGAGGATTTCTTAGGAAGGCAGCAGGGGTCGCACCTGGACTGTACTGAGTGGAGATATAGTGTCTTGCTTCAGCCTGTGTCTAGAGTATGGCCCAGTGGTAAAATAGGAGAGCTGTTTTGGTGCAAAACTTGTTTTGCCTAAACAGCAAGACCATACTTCTCTCCCCAAAGTTTTCTAACTAGAATGAACAGGCCATTATAGTAGGTACAGTTTGATATTTACCCCCAGGCTATATTTAATTTTTTTCTACTTTAATTTTTTTTTTTAACTTTTATGTGTGTGCGTGACTATTACTATGTGTGTGCAGTGCTCACAGAGGCCAGAGGGGCTGAGAGTAGAATAAGTTCATAGCTCTCTGTTGTGGGTGCTGGGACTCAAGCTTAGCTCCTGAAGAACAGCCAGTGGTCTTAACTGCTGAGCATCTCTCCAGCCCTAGCTACATGTATTTAAAGAGAATGCACTAGGTAGGCATGGTGGTGATGTCTTTAATCTCAGCAGTGGGGAGGCAGAGGCAGGTGGCTTTCTGAGTTCAAGGCCTGGTCTACATAGCAAGTTTTAGGTCAGTTACATGGTGAGACCCTATCTGAGGCCAGCCACTCCTCTTAAGTGACAACAAGCCATTGTTTCTATCCTTGGTGTCCAGGCAGTCTGAAGAGTTGTATTATGACTCAGAACAACTGTTGGTACCTGACTTAGTTGAGTTCTGGCCTTTACATTTTAGGGGAGGTCACCTAAGGTGACTAAAAAAGTGATTCTTCACTCAGCAGCTTCACATGACCTCAAGGCCAAGTGATAAAGATCAATATTAGGCAGCTTCTGTAGCTGAGTGACAATTATTTACTATATACTAGGAAAGAAAATAATGTTTAGGCTACTGATAATCTTAAATTTTCTGTGTTTTGTATTTTCAGGGTTTTTGTTTAATACCAATCCTTTTCCTAAGATGGAACATGCAATAAAATCATGCGTCACTAGCATTTAAATGCTATTAAAGCCTGGACATCTAGGAAAAGAATTCTCAAGGTATACACCTTTTCCAATTTTGTCATTGTAAACAAGAAAGTTTCATCTTTTAGAAAGAAAGTGAAAGACCCGAGTGCGTGGTGGCGCATGCTATCCTCTCAGCTCTGGAGATGCTAGGGCATGATGGTCACCACAAGTTTAAAGTTGACCTTTGCCACATAGTAACAGCGAGACCTTAGGGAGGGGTACAGACTTGGGGCTACTATATATGTTGAAGCTGTTGCTTATATAAACAGGCACAGTGGACTGAACTGTGGTCAGGAATCTGGGCAGTTGTTCTTTGTGTCCACAAGATATACTCCATGCTCAGCTGGCTCCAGTGTTCAAGACACTGTCCCTTCCAGTCTAGGTCCTGGATAAGAATCAAAACAAAACAAAACAAACAAAAAACAGGGCCAAAGCCCCAGCCAGCCTTGGCCAGACCTCTGTGGACAGGCCCAGAAGTGGCACACACCATGCAGCCTGTGCTCACTGATGGTCATGAACAGCCTGATGCTTGCTATACAGAGTGCCCAGAGAATGGCATGGCCTCCAGCACCACTCTCACTCTGTTGGCCTGACTATTTGGGTCTTCACGCTGCTTGGACTGCCCTCACTTCTTAGTTTCCTGCCCATTTTATGTTCGTTCACTCTCTGAGCTAGATTATTTTCTGCAGAACATTTGCTGCATAACTTAGAATGTCTTTTTGTTATTTCACATTGTCTTGCATACCCCCCATAGGAAACAATGACGAGAAGCATTTAGTGTATGCACAGTTCTGCTCCTCTAAGAAAATGCCCTATGGTCACTTTTGCTAAGGGGCACTCGCTAGGTGTCTCTGGTAAATGGCCAGCCAAGACTACATGGCATGGTAGCATGGTAGTTTGTTGGTCACAGTGTGATTGCCTTTTATCATTAGGTATGGATGATAAAGGGCACCTGAGCAATGAGGAAGCACCCAAGGCTATCAAACCCACCAGTAAAGAGTTCAGGAAAACCTGGGGGTTTCGAAGAACCACGATTGCCAAACGTGAGGGTGCAGGAGACACCGAGGTGGACCCCAGTGAGCAGCCACCACAACAGCATAGTCTTTCCCTGCGCCGCAGTGGACGACAGCCAAAGCGCACCGAGAGAGTAGAAGAGTTCCTTACCACAGTTCGCCGCCGAGGGAGAAAGAGTGTGCCAGTCTCACTGGAGGATTCCAGTGAACCCACATCCTCCACCGTCACTGATGTGGAGACAGCCTCAGAGGGCAGCGTGGAGAGTAGTTCTGAGGTCAGAAGTGGCCCTGCACCTGGCTCCTCAGGGAATGAGCATCCTGCCTCTTCCGAAAAGGCAAAAGGGGTTGATGAGGAAGAAGACACCTCTGATAGTGACAGTGATGGCCTTACTTTGAAGGAACTTCAGAACCGCCTTCGAAGAAAGCGAGAACAAGAACCCTCGGAGAGGCCCCTGAGAGGCATTCAGAATCGCCTTCGGAAGAAGCGCCGAGAGGAGGACCCTGCTGAAACTGGGAGTGTACTAACTGGCAGCGCTGATGAGAGCGTACCTCTCTGTAAGCCTGAGCCTGAGGCTAGTCAGGGACCAGTGTCCCAGTCAGAGAAAGATGACAGAGAAAATCAGTCAGAGGGGAAAGCAACTCAGGGAAGTAAAGAGGAAGGCCCCAGGGATGCAGGCAAACCAAAACCTGAGTGTGAGGTTTACGACCCCAATGCCCTCTATTGCATCTGCCGCCAGCCTCACAACAACAGGTAGGTGGAGGGAGGGAGTTTGCCCATTTTCAGAGAGAGCCAAGGGATGGAGACAGCGAAAGGACTCCCATTTGCTTTGATGCCACAAGAGCTTAAAGCTTGGCTTGCCAAGCAGTTGGTTTATTGAAAAAAGATGAATGTGTCCTGTAAAAAAAAGAAACAAAAAGAGTATACACATGTGGACTACCTAGAGTCACTCTCTTCACGGTAGCAGCCAACACCCACTGCACTGTGACATTCACATATGGTCACTTGTATACAGCATGAGATGAAAAGCTCACTGTCTCGGTCTCAAGCCATGTGCATCCAGTGGACACTGTAGATAGGTGAGAACCATCTGCTGTCCCAAAGATCCTACGGGAGAGTGTTATTCAGGACATGACTGCCGCCAGTGTGGTCCTTTACCTGAGTTGGCTGCCAGGTGGTGATGGGGCATCCCTGTGGGTTATTAGGGGATGAACCTGCTGCTGCTCCATGGAGATATTCTGAAGCCTCTAGTTCCCTCTTAAGTGGTCCAGCCAAAAGATGAAGGGCTGAGGATGTAACTCGGTGGTTAGAGTGCTTGCTTAGCATGCATGAAGCCCTGGGTTTGAATCCCAGGGCCTCATAAAATGTGTGGTGGCAAATACTTACTTGCAATCTCAGCATTCAGTAGAGGCAGTAAGATCAGAATTTCAAGATCATCCTTGGCTACATAGGGAGTTTGAGACACGTGAAACCGTGCCTCAAAAAATAAGTAAATAGGAAAGAAAAATTATAAAGCAGATTTGTAATGCTGGTTACAAAAGGACGGACACATGAGTGCTTTTAGTTCTGGTCTCACTTTTTACTTTGTGTGTTTTCATAACAGAATGTTAAGTTTGACTTGGTGATAATGCTGCACAATAACCACATAATCATAACCTTCCCATTTCAGGTTTATGATCTGCTGTGACCGGTGTGAGGAGTGGTTCCATGGTGACTGTGTGGGCATCTCTGAGGCCCGAGGACGGCTCCTGGAAAGGAATGGGGAAGACTACATCTGCCCAAATTGCACCATTTTGCAAGTGCAGGACGAGACAAGCGCCAGTGCCGCTGATGAGCAGGACACTGGGTGCAGACCCTTAGGTGCTGACGGCACAGACTGCACGAGCATAGGGGTGGTAGAGCAGAAGTCTGGTGAAGACCAGGGGATAAAGGGTAGAATTGAAAAGGCGGCAAACCCCAGCGGAAAGAAAAAACTCAAGATATTCCAGCCTGTAAGTATCTGTTTGCCATGGCAAGCACAAATGTCAGGCTTACTGCTGATGAAAACACCCAAGATTAGGAAGGTTGTGGGTGCAGACACTGTATCTGGTACTGATACGTGTCTGAGCCCTACAGAGCAGCATCCTGCTGTTGCTTCCATCTTGTATCAGCTTAGTGGCATTTATTGCACGTGTCTATGTCATTCAGGTTGGCCTCCAGTTTGTGGCCCTTCTGCCTTAGCTTCCTTAGTACTTAGTACTAGGATTATAGGTATGTACCAACACCATACTCTAATGGTCCCTTAAAGGAAAAAATACCCATTTCTCCATACTGCTGTTGACTAAGGTTGAAAAAAAAAAAAATAAGCCATTTAATTTGTTCTTGGTGTTACGTGTTTTGAGTGCTGGCAGAATTATTGAGAGAATAGTGACTTGTATTCCCCTCTGAGCATCTTGATCTGAGTTGTTACAGGCCAGTTACTCATTGGGTCGTTTCTCTGCCTGCCCAGTGTTTTCTTCATTCTTCCTGCTTGATTCATGTTACCTCATGGGACCATGACCTTCACGTCCCCATGAAGGGGTGCCACTGTTGTGTGCATTTTCATTTTGGTCCCTTGACCTCTGTAGCCTGTCTTCCGGTAGGTGTAGATTCTAGAACATCACTGCCTTACCATTCACATGTGCTGCAAGGTGAAAGAGTGATGGCTACATGAAAATGTGGTGCTGTTAGCATCATTTACTAAAGGAAGTTGTCCATTTGATGTTTTTATTGCCAGTATATTGGAGCATGGCCTGACTTTTATTGTGTGTAAACTTAGATTTGGTAAAAGAAAAGCAACTATGTTATTTAACCTGAATACTGACATTCTGCTGAATTGGTATAAGGGGTGTGCTAATGTGTATTTAGCTTTGCCATCATCTTATCATTAGAAGTTGTAAGCAGAGACATCCATATGTGCTATTTCCAGTGTGTGGTTTTTGCTACTGTGTTACAGACTTAGCTTAAAATCCCACTCCAGACTCTCTGGGTCAGATCCTGGTACAAAGCCTGGACCCCTAAGGGGCACAGTTCTCCCAAGGCTTCAGACTCTCAGAGAGGGGGGGCGGGAGATCCCTGCTGGGGGCTTTCAAACTGTCAGGCATATGTCCCATTCAGTCTTTCTGATAGACTTAAAGCTAAATGGTTTAAATGGTTGCTAATTATCTAAAATGCATGTTTAATTGAGTTTCCTGTATTTTGGCAGTATTGCCACCATCCCCCCAAAAAGGCTGCCTTCTTCAAAACCAACTGGATCTCTTCTCTTTTAGGGAATGGCACATTTTCTCTTTTAAGAATTTTCACCTGAGGGCTGGGTGTGACAAGAGTTCATGCTCTGGAGGCAGTATGAGTTCAAGGCTTACCTGATTATATAATGAGTTCCTAGGCCAGCCAAGACTACTTTAAGAACACTAGTTGCTCTTCCAGAGGATCTGGGTTCAATTCACAGCACCTACGTGGTGGCTCACTACCATGTAACTCAAGTGTCAGGGAATTGGATGCCCGCTGACTTCTGTGGCACTGCATGTAGAGAAACATATATGTAGGCAAAACACCCATACGAATAAAGGAATTTTCACCTGGGTCTCCAAGATGGCTCATTGGGTAAAGATGCCTGCCATCAAACTGAGTTTGATCTTGAGATCCCACATGATAAAAGGAGGGAGCTGACTCCTGGAAGTTGTCCTGAACTCAGCTGTACATGAGTGTACCTACACACACAGTAACTAAAAATTTAAGAGTATAATTTGTACCTCATTAAATATACAGTTTTACTTTTTTTAATGTGTATGTCTCGGGGAGGGCTATAAGTGCCGTCAGAGGTCAGAAGTCTAAAATTATAGGTGATGGTGAGCTAGCTACCTGATGAGGTCTTTTCTAAAAGCATTTGAGCCGTATTTCCAGCCCCACTCTGGCTCTTGATATCATTTTGGGACCTGCACATGTTTTCTGTAGAGGGCATGTTAATCTGAAGCTCCCATGTATATAGAGCTTGGCAGGACAATCAAGGGGGAAATGGGTTTGTGTAGTTCACATAAACAAAGACAGGTTCTTACTATGGCCTAGAACTTGGGAATCTGCTGCCTTCCTTTCCCAAGTACTAGAATTGTATTAAAGATTGTGCCATCAAAAAAAAAAAAAAAAAAAGATTGTGCCATCGTGCACAGTTAACAAAACAATTTTTATTCATATCAAAAATATTGTTAGAGCCAGCCATAGTGGTGCACACTTTGCACCTTTAGTTCTAGCACTAGGGAAGCATAAGCAGGTGGATCTCTTGAGTTCAAGGCCCAAGTCCACCAGGCTGCATATCAAGTTTCAGGCTAGCCAGAATTAATGAGACAACCTCTCAAAAACCACCCAAACAAAAAGCAATGCTCTTGTCTGAATCATAGTGACCATCAGTGCCATCAATGGTGGTGTCACAGCGCTCACCACTAATGTCGGCAAGTACGTTGTCTGAAGTTAAGCTGTTTCATTCTACAGGTCGTAGAGGCTCCTGGTGCTGCTAAGTGCATTGGCCCTGGGTGTTCCAATGTAGCACAGCCTGACTCCGTGTACTGCAGCAATGATTGCATTCTCAAACACGCTGCAGCTACCATGAGATTTTTAAGTTCAGGTAAAGAACAAAAACCAAAACCCAAGGAAAAGGTCAAGATGAAGCCAGAAAAATTCAGTCTTCCAAAATGCAGTGTTCAGGTAAGTTGACCAAAGTCACCTTCAGGACAATTGCAACAGGAAGTGTTTGAAAGTACTCTTCATAGATTTGTTTGTTTGCATGAGGAGAGCAGGGAACAACAGTTGTCAACAAAATCTAGATCACAATTTTCTTATCTCTTCCCCATCTGCTGAGGGATTAATTAACATGAATATAGTAAAACAAGCAAAACTGTGGGTTTTGTTTTGGTTTTTGGTTGTTTTTCAAGCCAGGGTCTCACTATGGAGCTCTGGTTGTCCTGGAACAAATTCAGTAAGACCAAGCTAGCCTCAAACTCTGCCTCCCAAATGCTAGGATTAAAGGCGTGCACCACCACCACTTGCCCAGGCCAGTCTTACGATTTTTACATATCCCTTGGAGAGTGTTTCCTTTGTTTTAAAGGCCCTTCTGAACCCAGGCAGGCTTTGATGGTTTTCTTCCCTTAGCCTTCACCCAGCTGGAATTACAGCTGTGTCATCAAGCCTGTCACTTTGGATCTTCAGACTCCCAGAGAAGTAGTTGCTCTATTCAGTGAGAGGATGATAGTACAGAGCATGGGGTGTGGCTGGCATCCTGATGGGCAGATTACCCACCGGGAATGCAAACACCATTTGTGCTCTACAGGGCCTCATGTGCACATGCAGGCTTTTTTTATTTATTTTGTTTCTAGCTTGTTTCACCATCTTGCAGAGAGGATTGGTTCATGCTTCTTTATCTTTGCTGGTTCATACCTCAGCTAGGTTCCAGACAGATGGGGGTCAGGAGTCTTGACATTACCCGAATGTTACATGAGAGTGCTAAAGGCTATTGGATGTTGCTCAGCTTAGGTGAAAGGTGAAAGGTGAAAGGTCTTAAGATGCCAAAATAAAAGGCAGTATCATGTCTCTAATTGGTCATTGAAGCAAAGGTATCACTTCAGACCTTAATAATTGGGATTTCACTGATTATCCAGGCAGGGATTAAAATCTCTTCTGTACACAAGAGACTAGCTTCAGAGAAAAAGGAAAACCCAGTGAAGAAAGTGATGGTGGCTCCTAGGAGTGAAACTTGCGGGAAGGAGGTAACCTGTGAAAGCACCACACCATCCTGGGCGAGTGACCACAACTACAATGCCGTGAAGCCTGAGAAGCCCGAGAAGCCTGAGAAGCCCACTGCACTCTCACCCACCCTATTGAGTAAATGTACGTATCACCCAAAGGCTGGCTTCCCAGGCCCCTCCCATCATCTGGATGGCTGCCTGGGGCTGTCTAGGAGTGGAGTCCTGGGTGTTCTGATGCTGCTGGTAGCCAGCAGCTCACCACCAGCCAGAACAAATACCAAGATGCCTCTGGACCCCAGGTGTTCCTGCCTAGCCTGTGGAGCTTCTCCTGGGGTGTTTCCTAAAGAGCTGTGTTGGCCTCGATACTGAGGCCAACAGTATCACATTGGAGGCAATTTCTATTTCAGTTTCAGGCTTTGGTAAGTATTTGCACAGCTCTCAAGATGGGACTACATCAGTGCACTGCTCAGACTCCAGGCTCAGTACCCTGCAGACACCAGTTTCTCACAGGACAGCCTGCATAAACCATGAGGAAGTTTTCCACATTACTTTTTCTTTTTTTTATGGGGGTGGCAGGGTTGAGACAGGGTTTCTCTGTAGCTTTGGAGCCTCTCCTGGCATTTGCTCTGTAGACCAGGCTGGCCTCAAATTCACAGAGATCGCCTGCCTCTGCTTCCCAAGTGCACCACCACTGCCCGGCTACATTACCTAGTTTCTGCACATGAAGTCATCACTGCTCTTCTATAGCAAAATTGATTTTTCTAGAGGTAGGATATATTTGAAAGGACAGATAGATAAATTGCTTGTGTCTGTTTCACATACTACACACCTACATAACAAACAGGTCCACATTTTCAAGGTCATTTGTTGCTGCTGAGACCTTATGGTGAGTAATTATGGTGACTTTTACCCTAGGGCAATATCCTCATCAAAGTGAGAATTGTGGGTAGTGGCTTCCAGATTCCTTTTAGATGTTGAGGTTATTAGTCTGCCCCAGATTTCAAACAATTGAAATGGCAACAGTTTGAGTAAATTTTTGAAGCCCAGGTCACAAAGTTGAAGCCATTTTTGCTTAATAGCTCCATACTCTACAAGGTATACCTTTTGTACAATGGTTAAGTGAATTTTCAGTTATGTTCTTGATAGTGTTTTGTTCCATCTCTGCTCACCCTCAGCTAGCCCAGATAGGTTACTGATAGTCCAGGCTAGCCTTAAACTTGCTGTGAAGCTGAGGATGACCTTAAACTTGTGAAGGGTGTTAGTATTTACAGGTGTGCAACGCACCTGATTTATGTTCTCAGGTGTGAACTCAGGCCATATTAGTCAAGCTGGATAACCTACCAACTGAGCTGCATTCCTGATCTTCTATCTTCACTTCTTGAGAGTGTGTGTGTGGTGGTGGTGGGGGGTGTCAAACCCAGAACTTCATGCATAACTAAGCAAGCACTACTTACTAACTGGTACCCCAACCCCATTAGTGCATACTGTACCTTTTGAAAAATATCACAGGATTAGAGTACCCTGAATTCTACAAGTATAAACATGCTATACTTCTTACTAGCCTTGCAGCAAGTTAACGGGGGTGGGGGGGGGCGACACACTTCTGACATAAAGGTTCACAAAAGGAGAGCGAAGTTATGCATGGTGTTGTAGGCCTAGAGTTGAGCTCAGGATTGTGAGTTCTAGGCTAGCTGGGGTTGCAGAGTGAGAACCTGTCTCTAAGGCACTCTGCTGCATTGTGACAGGCCATCGTGCACTTCAGGCAGTTGAGTAGTGAGTTTTATGTTTGAGAGGACATGTGTCATCTCAGGTGTTCTTTCTGTTACAGCAGCTCTACAGTAGCAGCACTGTGCACTAATGAGTAGGCTTAGAGCCAGGGACCACCTCTCCTAATAAGGCAGGGCCCACCAAGTATAGGCTCAGGTGCTTTAAGTGTCTGTAAACAGTAAAGGATGTAAATCTGGGGGTATAGTCAAAGCCCAGGGAGCTGAAGAGTGAGTGCAACTCAGTTCATCTTTGTTTGTGTGCCCAGAAGGGAAAGGCTGCTCTTGAAATTCTGACTTCAAGTCTTACTGTAGAAGCCATTAACCTTCTAGTTTCATTCTCAGACCCTGGTAAGTATAATGCCTATTGGTATCCTAGATGGTCCTGTGCCTGGAGAGAGAGGGTATTGGTGAGGAAGATGGAGAATAGTGATCCTAAATCTGAATGCTGTCTTCTCCCTCCCACGAGGTCTGGAGAGGTAGAAGGCTCCTCAGGGGTCATCAAGGTGTGACCAGTTTATTTTTATTTTTGTTTTGAGACAGGGTTTCTCTGTGTAGCCTTGGCTGTCCTGGAACTCAGATTCACCTGCCTTCTGAGTGCTAGGACTAAAGGTGTTGTGCCAGCACTGCCCGGCTGGTGACTGGTTTGTGTGTTCAGAGGTTCTTTTTCTTTGACCTCTTCCACCTTGCCTTATACATTGGCTCTTTAGTAGAGCTGATGGGCTCCAGGAGCAACAAAGTGGGACTCATAAACAACTGATTAATCTTCCCAACATACCAGCATCTCAGAATTGACCAGCATTCAAAATACAGCATCAGGGACATGTTTCTGAACCAGTTGCTTCTGTTTTTTCCCTTTATCCCATAAGTGTTATCTTCCAAACATTGAGAAGAGAGTGGTATCATCAGTGAGAAACACTGTCCCCTCTCTGCCTCTTGCCAGTCCTCTTTGACCCCTCTTCCTCTGCACAGTGGGAAGGCACCACACAGCCTGTGCAACTGTGTCCCAAGGACTCTGGCCCTGTCTCCCATTACCGGTGTGCAGAACACGCAAGAGGGGGAGTGGGGAGGGCATGGAGGGGAGTTAAAAGTGAACCCAGTGCTGGGAACACTTCTACAATCTTCTGAATGGATGCTCACCATGTACACTGAGAAGACTGCATGGCAGAGCCGAGGAGCCCTGCTGCTACCCCCTGGGTGGATACAGGCAGGCAGCAAGCTGTCCTGCACAGGAAGCCACACCTCCACATGCAGGTGATTCAATTTCACACACAGTTGTTCCTCTGATTCTTTTTTCTCTAGAATATCTGTACAGTATCCTTAATTTATAGAAACAATTGTCATTTTTAAAATTCCCAAAGATCTTGATATTGCTGTTAACCTTTTTTGTATCCTTCTGTGTTTCTTTATTTCCACACCTCCCATTGTCAGGAGGGAAGTGGGATGAACATTTGCCTAAAATATTCAGATTTATTAGTTTTGAAGCAGAATTTGGTATTTATACTTGTATACACAATAACTAGTATGTTGGACTCACTAAATGGCTCATCGAGTGACTTAAAACACTAGGGTTGGAATAGATGGTGACATGACAACAGTGTATATGGGTATGGGGACTTAATGGAGAACCCCAACTGCCTAGAAACCCAAATCCTGAGGGTCGACTACACCCTACCCATGTGGAAACAGTTTCCATGTTGATGCATGCATCCTACACAGGTACCAGGGCGGGTAGTAAGTGGAACAGGGAGAAGATGGGTTTTTGCCAGGTTATCTCACGGTGTGGGCTCCAGAAGCACATTCCATGGGATCGTGAAGGAGTCAGTCATCCGTATGTGGAGGGCACCAGAACCCTAAAGCTAAGGGTGGGCCTGTGTTTTATCAGCTGTATGAGCCGTTTATTTGTCTCCTCCAGGGTTGTTAGGGGCAATAAAATGGGGCGGGGAGCAGCTGTGCACATCTAAACCAAGCCCCTCCAAAACAAAATGTGCTAAGGGGTTCAACCTGGCAGCTGTTTTCTAGTATACAGAGAGCTAAAACTTACAAGGTTGTCAGTTAAATTCTTTTGGTATTTTAAATCATCTTTGCTTTAATAAGTCTTTAAAAGGCCTGCTGTTAAAAATTGGATCATAGCACTAACTTGAACCTGCCAAGTGAGCCCCTAAGAATACTGGTCTGTCCTACAGTCTGTCCCTGTGTGTCCTTCACCTCTCTGAAGTACCTTCCTGTAAACTTAAGGAGCTGTGGATCCAAGGGTTATTAACACTCCAAGAAAATCCTTTTGATTGCAATGCTGATGTCAAGAGTACAATGGTCACCTCTGAAGATACCTACCACGATTCCTCAGTATATTTCCATAAAGTGATAAAATGCACATAGTTACAAGCTTAGTGTCCAGAAGTTAGAGACTAACGTAGAAGACCAGATTCTTTGCTGCTTTAATGAGGGTTTGGGCAACGTTGATGTGCCACAAACCTGGAAGAGCTCGGCAAGAACTTCACCTGGTTCTCCACTGTCCCTCCAGCTTTGGACCCTTTCAGTCTGCAGGGCTCAAGGAAGGCACATGAACTGTTTTAACATGTTCCCATCTTGTTAGTTTCAGTAAACAATTTAGGTACAAAGAAATGGCTAAAGTGAACTTTACTGAAGTCATCTGTGTCTGTGTTTGGGGAAATCTGAGGAACAGCAGCTCAGCTCCCACATAGCTGGGCAGACAACACACACAGACATGGTCTTCAACTGCATTCCAGTGACTAATGTATAATGTATGAAACTAACATTACCCACCCAACATTGTTTTAGTTAAAATTTCAAGACACTGAAATAGTTAATATAATTTGCAAGTTTCTTAGAGTTCTCTGCATTAAGATGGAAGTCAAATACTAGATGTCAGTAAGAAATAAAAGATTTGGTTTTTATCCCCCAGAACATAGTAGTTGGATGTGGACTGGGGTCATTTTAGTCACAGTGGGCATCCAAGGAACATCTCTGACATGGCCTGGCTGATTTTGTCCAGGTCTCATTTTCTTATATGAAATTAAATCCGCACCTGCTTTTTAATAATTTTTGAGATGGCCTCAATATGATGATAGCTCTGGGCACCTCTCCCTTATATAGTCCTTCCTCAACTTGAATCGTGAGATTATAGGCATGTGTGTGAGGTCTTGAGAAAGGGGTGTTTTAACAAACATTTCTACTTGCTACTGCCACCTCACTGAGAAGAGGTGCAGTGAAACAATGAGAAACCCTACATTATTTGTTCCACAGATGAGGAGCAGAATTCAACTTGGTACTGGTTATCGTCACTCCTCAAGGTGCTGGAGGTGAAATACCTGCATGGGGACAAGCTGTGGCAGCCCCCTGTAAGGGCAATCACCAGGCAGGGTATTCTGGGGGGGGTGGTTGGCACTCTGTAGATTTGGACCCCTGCCCTGTGTGGACCCTGGTATCTGTTAGACTTCAACTTCAGTACATTTGCAGGGCTCTGTTCTGGGAGCATATGGGCAGGGTTTGTCCCCCAGTTCATTTCTCCTTCCCTCCATTGTGAGCCATTACTGCCATCTGGTGGCCAGCACTGCTGTATCAGCCCTGTTAATGAGCCCATGGTGTGATGATAGTTTAGCCTCTGTGATCCCGAGCAAAACAAAGCAATCTACTGTGCTCCATCAAACTTGAAGCGACTTAGTTTCTATTACAACGAATTGGTGTTGGCAACAGTTCACCTAGAATAATGGTCAACACCACTGGAAACACCTTCCTCCTGCCACTCAATGTTAGTCAATACCCCCGCAAGAGGGCAGAGGAGGGTACTCACAGAATGACTCCATTAGTGGGATGGGCATGTGGAGGGGGAACTTAGCATTGCCCTCTGCCTAGTGGCACCAGGTATGGCTCTTTTATACCGTATACAGCTAAAAGTGAATTCTGGGGTTCTGTTTGCCAAATATGTACAAGGCACTGGTTTTGAACCCAGGGATTGGGGAAGGGAATGGAGTAAGGATTCACAAATTGATATATTGCTCTATTCAGAAATGAAAATGGATCCCTATTGCTAGCATTTTCAGCAGTTGCTGCTCCAGGTCAACATCACTGCTTTACATAACTGTAGGGGCCAGAGGAGCAAGCCAGTCCCTTGAGCAATGGCAGTGCATAACTGTTGCCACATTTTACCCCCTCCAAAATAGAAAGTTTGTCAAGATGCTTGTAGGCAAATGACTAGTGACATCCATCATTTATGAGATATATTTGCCAATTTGTAATTTATGTAATAACTTTACACACTGGTGGGAGTGTCACTAAAGGCTCCTGACGATTTCCTTAAATGGACAAAAGCTGCTGGAGCTATAAGACTGCAGAGTGATAGCTACATTAGTGATGGATGACATTCAGGTATGTCTGCTTAGGTCATCAGATGTGTCCTGGGAGTGTTTGGAATAACCAGAATGCAGCCATACCAAGAGAGATTGGGTCTATTATAGAACCTGTGGTTTTGAAGTGCACATTTGTAACCAAATGCAAGACACACCACAGATGTTTCAGGCCATACTGCTGCTGTGTGGAGGGGCTTTCTTGAGGTTCTCGCAATCCCTTAGTTTTATAGAGGTGGGGAGGTGCTGGTATTGGGTCTTGCTTGTGTTACCACCTCACTCTTGTAGTCCTAGGCGGCTGGCAATCTAGTACACATTGACTGTGCCCCTCCCTACTGTCAACATCTCATGTAGCACTTGGTCCTTACTGTTCTTGGAGTGCTCATTCCTTCCCTGGCCCTTCCTCAGAGGAGTTTGCACTTATTCTCTTTTTCCTCCACATAACCCAGCAGCCAAATATGCAGGTGAAAACCCCTGGAGCTGAGAGTTAGAAAAAGGACTACCACTGCATACTCCTTAACATTGATCTTGCCCTATGGAAGCTTGGCTGTACTCCTTGGTTCACAATGTGCTCTCTTCTAATAAACAATTGTCTTGCACACTGTATTGTAAAAATAGCTCCTTGACAGTTAAAAAAAAATACTCCATTGGTGAGAGTGTGCTGCTAATTTCTATTTTGTACCAATCTGTCTCATATCTTCTGTCCTCAGGTGCAGGTTTTGGGTAGATGTGACTTAACTCTGTAGAGCTCCTAACATGCTTCTGAGCACACAGACCACTTGCAGCAAAGGGCCATTGGGGTGAAGTTGGAAGGTTTTCAGATGAAATGCAAGGCTTGCATTTTCTAGGTTTTTCAGTGCCAGTTTGTAGTTGGCAGTGGTACAGGCTGCCAATGACAACTTGGTAGCCAGGTCTGGCAGGGCTCCTAGATACCTGGACTAGTTTGTTGAAGTGCTATTTTCTTGTATATGGGGTCTCTGGGCTTCCTGGTATATTGGAAATGGGTACTGGGAGCAAAAGGTAGGAAGTAAATATCTATGATCTTGAAATTATGCTTGGGGATGGCTGGAACTGCCTGTGTAGGGTGGGTTTTGCCAGCACACAGTGTTTAGATTACCTGTCTAGTTGAGCCATCTCATGGGTGTTTGTTCATTGCCTGGAAAGATAGCAGTCCTGAAGCACATGTTCACAGACATTTCCTTACGTTGTTTTACCACTTGGGCTGCTGGGCAATGTGTTGGACAAGCATCATGCAGTCCCATCACCCAGGCTGTGGTGCGGACCCGCTGATGTAACTTGGGACTTGGGAAAGTGTGGGTGTGGGGGGTGTCTATTCCCTCCTTCACTATATGGGTTCTGGGGGCTGAACTTGGGCTTGGCAGCTACTGTACTTGCTCAGACATTTTGTGAGCCCTTAGCATAGGATATTTTGTTAACCCTTTTACCGTGCTGACTGGATTGGGGGTGTTAGGGGTGGGAACTTACATAAATGGACATCACTGCTTTTGGCATCTGATGCTTATTGCTTCCTTGGCCTTCCCTCAAGAAAGGAGTCTGCTGATTTCCTGTCACATAAACTCCCGGTGTTCAGACATGCAGGTGACATGCTAAACACACTGAGAGCTGAGAGTCCACTGCAGTCTTCTGTTTTGGCAAATTACTTGTGATATGAAAATAGGTTGGCTGATCCTATATTGCTCACCAGTTTATACTTTTATCAACTATGTCTCCAGTGGACTTTTGTAGAGTGATGATGAAGTAATGTGTGTTCCCTGTATTAACAGGTGTCAACCTTCAGGACCTATTACCAACATAAAACACTGCCCAAACTTGAATGTCAAGATTTTAAAAACCTCTGCAAATGCCTAGGTTGACTGTTTACAGGGTGCACATGGTATAATGTTCACTTGGAGTTTGTATTACCTGACTTTATCTGCATTCTCCTTTCTAGCCATGAAGGAAGACAGGAGAGCAGAGGACAGAACAGTGGCCGTAGCTGCAGTCCCAAAGAAGACAATTCCTCCAGGCTCCTTGATGGGCAGGCAGACTTCACCCAGAAATCTTGCTCCAAAGAAGCTTCCTCCTTATGCTAGCATGGCAGGAGCCAAACCAGCCATTAAGAAGCTGCCCTCAGGCTTCAAGGGTACCATTCCCAAGAGGCCATGGCCCTCAGCTACCCCTTCAGGCACTTCTGCCAGACAGGCAGGACCAACACCTGTGACAGCTGCTTCCAAAAAGTTGCCTGGGTCTGCTGCTGTGGTGGGAGTTATCAGGAAGCCAATGTCTGCCAATGCCTCTGCAGCCTCTCCAGCCCCAGGACGCCTTGGGCCTGTGAGCTCAGCCCCATCACAGCCCAATTCACAAATTCGTCAAAACATAAGACGCTCCTTGAAAGAGATTTTGTGGAAAAGGTGGGCTGTTATACATGTCATACATTTTGCAGATACAGCATTGATGATAGTATTCTGGATTTCCCTACTAGGGAAGTGCCCCCTGGTTTATGTAATTCCTCTTTTCATTCTATTCAGAGTCAATGACAGCGATGACTTAATAATGACAGAAAATGAAGTAGGAAAAATTGCCCTCCACATTGAGAAGGAGATGTTTAACTTGTTCCAGGTTACTGATAATCGTTATAAGAGCAAATATCGCAGCATCATGTTCAACCTTAAGGATCCTAAGAATCAGGTCTGTGTGCCCCCAACTAAATGTTGGGACTTCTTGACCCAGAATAGAGCCTTACCTTCATTTCTGTTAGCATCACAGTGACCTAACAAATAGCATTGGGAGCGCCCTTTCTGTCTTCTCTGCCACAACTGGAGTTAGGCATTTTATTACCCCTCTCCTTCCATTTTACTAAATAGCTTAAATTTTGCTGCAAAAATCCCATGCCACTGCCCTAAGATTAAAGTTTTTCATCCCAGTTTTCATGGCTGTCTGGTGGACCTTTTTATTTTGTTTTGGGTTTTTTGGGGGGTTGGGGGCAAGATCTCACCTTAGCTTTGGCTGGCCTGGGTCTTGCTTTGTAGACCAGGCTGGCCTCAAACTCTTAAGAGATCCAACACACTTGCTTCTGCCTAGCAAGTGCTGGGACTAAAGGTGTGTGCCAGTACAACGGGGTTCAAGCAACCTTTTCTGCTTTGCATTTCTTCCTCAGCTACAAATGTGGGCCACCCCTTGTAGTTTTCAACTTTGCATAACATGGTGCCTCCTTTCTGCTACTGGGGCTGTTTATAGTGTTCTCTAGATTCTGAACACACAGAATCTCTGTGTTTTAGAAGCAGAATCAAGTGCCCTGTCTACATCGCCATGGTCTCCAGTCCCATGGTAGAAGTAATATATTCCTGCCTTTAACATCCTTTTTCCCGGGGAAACAGTGTCTCACTATGTAGCTCTGGCTGGCCTCAAACTCAGATCCCCATGCTGGGGTTAAAGGTGTATACAGGGCTGGAGAGATGGCTCAGCCATTAAAGGCTAGGCTCATAAAAATATAAAAGGTGCATACAGTCTGGCCTTGTAACTGTGTTTTTGAGGCAGTCTTGTGCTTCCGCTTCCCAGGTGTGTACCACCCCTCCTGGCTTCCAGCTGTTTAACCTATATTCCAGGATGCATATATGATTTGTGATCCTGAGAGGGCATGGAGTCTGCAGATGGCCTTGAAGTCAGCTCTCAGCTGCACTATTGCCTACTCAAGAGAAGGCTGCCCATAGTGGGTGGGGGTTGCCCCTCTGCAGGGTGTGTGGCTTAAGTTCTTGGAGTATTCAGGGTCCATCTGATTTCCATTGTGCTGCTTTGTTTCTTCATATTGATCCAGAGTAAAAGATAATGCTAAAGATGTATGGATGAGGAAATAAAAGATGCTTTTTTTTTTTTTTTTTTTTTTTTTTTTTTTTTTTTTAATAGGGGCTCTTCCATCGAGTCCTTCGAGAAGAAATCTCCTTGGCAAAACTTGTCAGGATGAAGCCTGAAGAGCTAGTATCTAAAGAACTTTCCATGTGGACAGAGAAGCCTACAAAATCTGTGAGTGCTGAGGGGGATGGTTGCCTGAGGCCCTAGCGGTTTCATTTTTCCAGAATAAGCGATGTGGAGGTAGATGAATATTCCTTCTGCCTAGAACCCAAAGCTGAGCCTTCGTTTCTTTCCCTCTTGTAGGTGATAGAGTCCAGGACTAAGCTGCTTAATGAAAGCAAGAAGAACACTGCTAAGCCAGAAACTATTCCTGACATGGAAGATTCTCCACCAGTGTCAGATTCGGAAGTGAGCATTTGGGGCGTCTGGTGTTTACACAGAGACCGAGACTAAGATGTCCCTAGTCACTGAACAAGTCTATGTGTATGCATGGTGCAGTGTGTTCTAAGTGCTATTCCTTGGGATGATTTTGTCTATTGTAAAACTTTTCACTTACGGAATTTAGGGATTATGGCCCTGTCTTGGCGGCCTTCTTCTCTATTGGTTGTTTGTTTGTTTTGGTCTTTTCCAAGACGGTTTTGGACCTTGTTCTGTAGACCAGAGTGGCCTTGAACTCAGAGATTAACCTGCCTCCACCTTCAGGCAGTTGGTACCACACCTGGTTCTCCATTGGTTCTTCACCAATTGTGCTACTAATTTAGGGATGGATTGGATTTGGAAAGGAAATTACATACTTGAGCCAAGCATGTTGGCGTTTTCCTATAATCCCAGCACTTTCTAGATCAGGGGTTCTCAAGCTGTGAGGTGTGAGCCTTTCACAGGGGTCACATATCAAATAACCTGTTAGTAGATACTTGCATTAGGATTCATAACAGTAGCAAAGTTACAGTAATAAAGTAATAACAAAAGTAATTTTATGGTTGGGGGTCACCACATGGGGAACTATATTAAAGGATGGCAACCTTGGAAAGGTTATGCTAGATAGGAGCAAGGAGGTCAGGAGCTTCAGGGTCATCCTCTGCTACTTTGTTTTTTTTTTTTTTTTTTTTTTTTTTTTTTTTTTTTTGGAGGGGGGAGTTGCTTGCTTGTTTGATTTTTGAGACAGGGTTTCTCTGAATTGCTTTGGAAGCTGTCCTGAAACTTGATCTGTAGACCAGGCTGGCCTAGAACTCACAGAGATCTGCCTGCCTCTGTCTCCTGAGTTCTGGGACTAAAGGTGTGCGCCCTCTGCTACATTTTGAGGGTCAGGAGCTTCAGGGTCATCCTCTGCTACATTTTGAGACATTGTTTCAAGAAAACAAGAAAGGCAAGACCTACTTGTGTTTCAATTTTAGGAACAACAAGAATCAGTAAGAGCTGCCCCTGAAAAGAGCACAAAGCCTCTTCTTGATGTCTTCAGCAGCATGCTAAAGGACACGACAAGTCAACATCGGGCTCATCTTTTTGATTTAAACTGTAAAATTTGTACAGGTGAGCATAATTTGGGCCTGAAACTTTGGAAATGAGACAAAATCAGATTTTGTTTAAAATTGCTCTTCTAGAGATAACAGTGTTTCAGCCAAGCTTAGACAGAGTGGCTCTCCAGCGCTTATACAGCCTTCCCTCAATTGATTTTGATTAACATAAGAAGCCATTTCTTGCTCATTGACCTATGCTCTTGAATGTGTCTTCCTCATACCTCATCCTCTTTAGGTCAGGTTCCATCTTCGGAGGATGAACCAGCTCCTAAAAAGCAAAAGCTTTCAGCTTCTGCCAAGAAAGAAGACTTAAAGCCCAGGCATGACAGCTCTCCATCTGATCCAGTTCCTAACACTGCTGATGAAGGAATTGCAGAGATACTGCCTGAAAATGCCTCTGAACCAGACCTGGAGAATATGTCTAGTCTGAACCAGGAGAGAAAATGTTTCCCTGGGCCTCCAGGTGATGGCCATCCTGAGCCCTCCCCACTGGATGGCCTCTCTCCCTGCTCTGCCTCTGGTGGGAGTGGGGTGGTCACCACAGTCACAGTGTCTGGCAGAGACCCCAGGACTGCCCTGAGTGGGTCATGCACCGTCACAGCCTCCATGGCAGCCCACCTGGACAACTCCCACACATCAGAAACCAAACTGGACACACTAAAGCCTGCTTTGACTCCTGCAGTGGTGCCTAAGTCCATACTGGCTAAGCCGTCCTCCTCTCCTGACCCGAGGTACCTGTCAGTGCCACCATCACCAAATATGAGGTTTGTTTAGGATGGGGTCTGAGCAAACCTCAAACTCTTGCTTTAGACTGACAAGGAAAGCTAGTGATTAGATTTATCAGAAACCTGGCTTTAAGCTGGGCAGTGGCAGTGCACACCTTAAATCCCAGCGTTTGGGAGGTAGGTGGATCTCTGTGAGTTCGAGACCAGCCTGGTCTACAAGAGCTAGTTCCAGGACAGGCTCCAAAGCTACACAGGGAAACAAGGAGGGATTGACATGTGAAGCAAGCTTGTTCCTAATTTGAACTAAAAAAAAAAAAGAAAGAAAGAAAGAAAGAAAGAAAGAAAGAAAGAAAGAAAGAAAGAGATTTCTTGAATGCCTAATTAGTATTTCAGTATCATTCACATCTTGATTTTAAGTTTTTAACTTAATGGCCATTCTGATTTGTTGTGTGATCAACTTATTTCTTGACCAAATATCTAAGTCATTATGACTTTAAATAGTTGCTTGGTAAGGGAAGCCACCAACCTTGGTGTTCTCTTCTGCTCTGAAGTCTCCATACTTTGAAGTATCCATTGTATACAAAGAAATTGACACTTTTTTTTTTTTTTTTAACAGCATTTCAGAATCACGATCCCCACCAGAAGGAGACACAACCCTCTTTTTGTCTCGGCTCAGCACAATTTGGAAAGGATTTATTAATATGCAGAGTGTTGCAAAATTTGTCACTAAGGCATATCCTGTCTCTGGGTGTTTGGATTATCTTAGTGAGGTTAGAACCAAGAAGTCTCCATCCCTCCCTCCATTCCTCCCCTCTCTCCCTCTCTTCCTCTGGGTGTGTGGGTGTGTCTTGGAGGAATCAGATCCATGCTGCTCTTAATGTTGTATGACCAGAGACAGAAGTCAGGCACTTGGTTCCCTGCTTAGGTGGGTTATTTCCACATATTTGACCTGCCTCTGCTTCTGAACATAATATCCTGGGGAAGAAGGTGGTTATCTTCCCACTCTGGCTTTAGGTGACACTCTTCTAAAGTGGTAATAGTTTTGTTGTGCCATCTGGTGTTTTGGAATTAATTGTGTCAATCTGTGAAGACTGGAGCTCTGGTGTTGACTCCATGTTCTTCTTGTATAGGATTTGCCAGACACCATCCACATCGGTGGAAGGATTGCTCCAAAGACGGTTTGGGATTATGTCGGCAAGCTCAAGTCATCCGTGTCCAAGGTACCTGCTCACAGTGTGGTCTCTGCAACAGTGGGAGATTGTGTTTGCTTAAACTTGTTCTTTAAGTCTCATTTTGTTGGGCTAGGGCTTGAAACATCAGCCAATCACTTACTGGACATTGAAAGTGTTTATAAGTACATAAAGATGTGAAGGTATACTTGACTAATAGTGATAGGAGCTTGTTTCTAATTTATAATGGTGTGAATGCATTCAAATTTTAGTAAATACACAGGCTTTGCTTCCCTCTTTCATGACTAAGGGAAATGAAGGTAGGAACTTGGAGGCACACAATCTTACCTCATGGCTGAGGTTTTGTCTTCCTAAAAATCTCTCAAGTCAGCTGCAGCTGATGTGTGTGAGATTTCTTTTGAATGTTGTCTATAATTTGTACCCGACTCATAAGAGAAGGTAAACCATATAGATTGACCTAATATTGAGGAGGCACCCAGATGGCACCTGCTGCTAGTGTGTCTTGAGTGCTGTGATCCTCATCATCACATGAATAGTGAAAGTTTGCTTGGTGTCAGATACTCCTAAGCTGACAGCTGTATATAATTGCTTACTGAAAGTCCTGGGAATGGAAGTGGTTTTAGCCCAGAAGTCAGACTAGAACGTGTGTTCTTTACGCTCAATGTGAATTAAGTGCAGGTAATAGATCAGAGTCAGACCTGCCAGGCAGTGTGTCTGTCCTAGGATCTGTATCTGGAGGAGGTTTGTTCAGGGCAGCCCAGGTGCATGCTTCCCTGTACTCTGTTTGCCTTACAGGAGCTCTGTCTGATCCGCTTCCATCCTGCCACAGAGGAGGAGGAGGTTGCCTACATCTCTCTCTACTCCTATTTTAGCAGCCGTGGCCGCTTTGGGGTTGTAGCTAATAACAACAGGCATGTCAAGGACCTGTACCTGATTCCACTGAGTGCTAAGGACCCTGTGCCATCCAAACTCTTGCCCTTTGAGGGCCCAGGTAAGCACCCAGTTTCTGGAAGGTGAAGGCACAGCACAGCCAGTCCCCAAATAGTCCTCTACACTGACACAGTCCTCTCAGGTTGTCACAGGGACATCTGACACCTGTCCCAAACTCTCTGGAACCAGTGGAACCGTGGCTCTAAAAGTGCCTCAGTTCATGTAAAAATTGACTCACAGTACTTACAGTCAGATTGTTTGCTGCCTCAGACCAGGGAGCTGTTCAAATGCCAGGACCAAGAACCAGACCTAGAGAGTTAAGACAGGGTTTGTCTGGACCCAGGGTGCCTTCCTCTCCAGAGAGAGGGTTGCTGTTATTGTTGCCACTCTGCTCAAAGTGAGCTGGCCTCTTCCATTCTAAGGCACTTCTCCACAGGACCTGATTCCTAAGGGTCCACTAACAGGCCCATAGAGAATCTCAAAATGATTACTTTCTAGTCACTGCACACACTCTAGAAAGTTCTTTTGTCTTTTCAAACTATTTAAACTCACTCTTTCCTTGGAATCATTGCTTAGCAGATTACATATAAAGAAACACACACTGGGTTCAGGTGACATGGAGGGGCCTACTCCAGTGATGTCCAGCTCTGCCAAGTGTCTTCAAGGAATTTTCAGGGCTTCAATTAGGGAATTGGCACTAGGTGCCTAAATTGGTTTCTTTGATCATTATATCCCCAGAGCATTAGTCTTACCTAAAGGCCATTGGGTTTGACAAGTGCTAAATATTCTTTAAAATGCTGTCATAGAGGAAGCTGATGAATGCCCCAAGCCCTGTACCCCACACCACTTAAACTTGCTAGGATGCTGAAGTCCCAAGCTCATTGCCCCAAGCACAGCCCTCTGCCAACTACAACCTGCTCCTAGTTCATGGCACGGGTTTACCTGTGCCTGAAGTTTCAGAATTTGTGCACATTAAGGTATTGGTTGGTATCCTAATGCGGGGTTAAATGTTAATGGACATGATGCAGTAGGTGATTTTAGTGCCCAGCACATTTCAGAAGTAAAGTGTGTTAGTGTATTCTGTGAAGCCATGTTAGGGATTAAAAAAAAATGCCACTGTGGATGGCACAAAGTGCCTTGGAAGTGCTCCATGACAGCCATGTGAAGAGGTCTGGCCAGCATATTCCATGACCAGTTCTTCGGGAAGTGAAGATCCAGAAGCTGACTTTGGCAGGCACCTGTATGAAGAGCGGCCAGTCACTTAGATGTGTCTCAGGTGGCGGGTAGGAGTTAGTAGTGTCCTTGGGTGGTGCCTGTAGTGAGGGCAGGTACTGCCACTGGGACCCTCCTCTCAGGTGGAAAAGCACACCATTTATTGCAGGGGTGTGAGTTAGATCCCTTGCCTCCGGTTGGCTCAAAAACAAAAGCAGCGCTTCATCATTTATATTCTCTATCCCATCTCCATCTCAGCATTGCCAAATGAGGAGAGACTGTTGGGAGTGTTGAGAAGCCTGCAGAGTCGATGGGTGTTTGGGTACATGGGACCCTTAACCAAACAGGATTTGGGCAAGGTTCCCAGTGGCCAGGGCCAGGAAGGAGACCACCAGAGGAATGGTACCATCCATTGTGGCTACACAGTTATCTGGCTGCAGGGTCATGGGATAGCCAGCTGGGACAAGACAAGTCCATACTGTGCTTCCAAGATGACGGTTTGGGGGTTGGCTTATTGTACCCCACTAAGAGATGGGGACTAACCACCCAGACTTATGTTCGGTGGCTTAACAAGTAGAGGGGCACACTTGCTGAGGCCTTGACACTGAAAGATACACTCAAAAGATAGGCAGATTTCCATCCACAGTAAATCATAAATGTGTCTTGTTGAATAAGAATTTAGAAAAGTAATGAAATATTACCTTTAAACTTCTAAAGATTTTTTTTTAACTTAATGACTGAGATACAGTTTTAATTATACTGTTGCCACAATTACATGTGTGTGGTATTTGCACACTGTCAGTACAAACAGCCTTGACCTAGGCCAGGCTTGTGGCTGGACCTGCCTTAAGTACTGATGGCTTGACTTGGCATTTTTCTAAGTGGAGAGGGGTGTGTGTGTGTGTGTGTGTGTGTGTGTGTG